TAATATCAGGTACTGGAGAATGTGGAACAAAGTGAATGCATTCACTACACACTCAATGCAGATCAACCCTAACGAAACGACAGCAGAGATGCAATCAGGATACGTTTGCTCATGTGCATAAATGCTTAGAGCAGCATGGAATTAGAGAAAAGACACCAGAGACCACCCAGGGGGCCAGCAACAGTAGAGGTGGACCTCACAAACAGCACGGAGCCAAATAACCAAGTCATACACAATTACAGAATATAATCCCATGCATGTCAAGCTTAAAAGCATGCAAAGCTTAACTGCTTGATATTTAAGGATGCATTTACGTGGAAAAATTATAAAGAAAAGGAATGATAAAAATTAGGAAGAAGTTCTCTGTGCAGGGGGGAGAAAGGATGTCTGATAGATAGGATGGAGAAAGAATACACAGTAAACCTTGGAGGTAATGATGACTTTTGTGTTTTTTTAGAAAACCTCTGGTGGGTATACAGGTCTTTGTTTTATCATTACTCTTTATAACTGACAAATATTTTATAAATGTTATTTTACACATATTACAAATATGTAAAGCATATTTATAACATTTTCTATAGCATATATATAACATTCTATAGCATATTTATAACATTTCTATATATAGCCAGCAAAATCTAATTTTAATAATGAGACTTATTTTATTGAGAAATAACAAAATGGTAGTTTTTTAAAGTTTGAAGTGTGTCAAAAACTAATTAAATTACTTATTTTGAAGTCTGTACCTTCTCTGAACTGAAATAACATTTCTGAACTTTATTGATGCAACAGAAGTCCCTCTTAGTCTAAACTTAAATTCCTCTTTGAACACTGAATGTCATGTTTGACAATATTCAAAAGCCAACTTGTATGGAAAACTCTACAAGTATTCTCACAGAGTGTATTTGGGAAGTCTTACCTTTACCGTATGACCTGCTAGCGCTCTTCCTGACTGAAAGCTTTGGAAACTGAATCTCTTTAGAAAATTAGGATCAAAGCAGCACACACTAGCTAGAAATTACTCCACACCTGTCCTAACAGAGTCCCGCTATCTCAAAACCTTTCCTTTCTCTCGATTATGGCTAATAGTACACACAGAAAAATGCCTTGTAACAAACCACAGTGGCCATCCCAACTGCTGTGATGCAGACTTCTAAAGTACTTGGAAGTGACTCTAGACAGTGACACTCCTTCTCTGTACAAACTGTATAAACGGTGTGGACAAATCTCTGGGATTTGTCAGCAAGTCACCTATGTTGGGGAGGGGGGCGGCATCAGCTCCATACACAGGTCCGCTGTGTGTGTGTGTGTGTGTGTGTGTGTGTGTGTGTATGTGTGTGTGTTTCCTACCATATTTTAGGAGCCTGAGTGGATAAAAAGAAAAAGCAGAGAAACCGGAGCCCCCTTGTTTGCTCTGCCCACCAACTAGCTGTGAACCCCTGGGCAAAACGAGCTGTCTTTTCTGAGGAAGACGGACTCATTGCTAAGGCCCCTACGCTTTTCCTTTTCCCCGTTTGTTTCTGCATTTGTTTTCTTTTTCTTTTTTAAGTCTAATCCTTGGGTCCCGCGCTTGTCAATGTCATTAATTCACTCGACAAGCATTCACTGAGTGCCCCCGGGACCCAAGGCCCTGCTCTGGGTGCTGGGTGAGAACAGTGAACACAACGGGCAAGAGCCCTGCGCTCACGGACCTTAGGTCATTCAAGTGGGAAAGACGGACAATAAACAAGTTTGGTTTTTTTTTTTTTAAGATTTTATTTATTTATTTATTTGAGAGAGAGAATGAGAGAGAGAGAGAGAGAGAGAGAGAGCATGAGAGGCGGGAGGGTCAGAGGGAGAAGCAGACTCCCCGCCGAGCAGGGAGTCCGATGTGGGACTCGATCCCGGGACTCCAGGATCATGACCTGAGCTGAAGGTGGTCACTTAATCAAATGAGCCACTCAGGCGCCCAATAAACAAGTTTTAAAAAAGTAAAATATGTCAAACATGAAAGTATGTCAAATAGTGATAACTGCTGAAGAAAAAGAACAAAGAGGAGGAAAGGTGGTCAAACTTTTAAACGGTGTGACCAGGAAGCCGTCCCTGAGGCGGTGGCTGTTGTGTAAAGGCTTGAAGAAAGTGCGGGAAACTTCTGTGCAGGTGTCTGGGGGCAGACAGTCCTGGCAGAGGAGAGGCAGATGAGGAGCTCCTGAGGTATGTGCCCAACACGTCTGAAGAAAAGTAACAAGGCCAACTGACTTAGACTGACATTTTTAAAGGATCACGCTAACCATTAAATGAACAGTAGGCTAAGGAGCAGGAGCAGAGGTGGGAAGACAGGCTGCTGAGAGGAAGTAAGGAGAGCACAAGGTTTTAGCTGGCATAGCCATTTTCCAAGATAGGAAAAAACTGCGAGAGAAACGCTTTGTTCTGTTTGTGGGTTTTGCCTATCGAGAACTCAGTTTTCAATACATGAACCCAGTGAACTCGATTAGAATCCAAGGAGAGATATAAGTGCAGACACGGAAGTACCCATGACTTACTGTTGCATGAAAAGATCTATAATTCTATTTCTGGAAGAACGCAGGCACGCCACGTTCTTTTGGGCTTCGCTTCATTGTGTGTTGCAGATACAGTGGGTTTTTTGTTTTTTTTTTTTTACAGACTGAAAGTTTGTGGCAACCCTGCATCTATCGGTGCCATTTTTCCAACAGCATTTGCTCATTTCCTGTCTCCATGTCACATTTTGGTAATTCTTACAGTATTTCAAACTTTTACATTATGACTGTATTTTATTATTACTGTATTATTGTGACCTGTGATCAGCGATTATAACTCACTGAAAGCTCAGATGATGATTAGCATTTTATAGCAATATAGTATTTTTATTTTTTTAATAGTTTACTTATTTATTTATTTTTGGTAATCTCTACACCCAAGGTGGAGCTCCAACTCACAACCCTGAAATCGAGTCACATGCTCTTCTGATTGAGCCAGCCAGGCGCCCCGAGCTATACAGTATTTTTAAATTAAGGTACGTGCGTTGTTTTTTAGACATAATGCTTTGCATACTTAAAAGACTACACTGTAGTGTAAACCTAACTTTTATATGCACTGGGAAACCAAAAAATTCATTTGATTCACTTTACTGCAACACAGGCTCTCTTGCCCTGGTCTGGAACCAAACCCACAATATCTCCAAGGTGTCCCCGCATGTCAATAATAATGTAAATGCCTCTAGGGGATGGGATGTGTATACTTCTGTGATGGTGAATTTTTATGTGTCAATCTGGCTAGGCCACAGTATCCAGATGTTTGGCCAAACATTATTCTAGATGTTTCTATAAAGGCATTTTTCAGACTAACATTTAAATCAGTAGAGCTTGGGTAAAGCAAATTACCCCCCATATAATCTGGGTGGGCATAATTCAATCAAATGAAGAAAAAGGACTGACCTCCCAAGCAAGAAGGAATACTGCAAGTACATGGTCTTTGGACTTGAACTCCAACTATTTCCTGGTCTAACTGTGCAGATTTTGGTCCCCCCCCCCCGTGCCCCAACACTCACACATCCTGCTGGTTCTCTTTCTTTGGAGAACCCTAATACAATTTCTTAGGACATGCACTGAAATAATATTTAAAATTTTAAATTAAAAAAAAAGCAAGGAATAACTTATTCATCAGAAAAACAAAAATAACTATAAATCTCAGGTGCAACACTTAAAATTTATGTGACATCAGTCAAGTGCCTATGCATATACTACCATATATACTGCAATACATAAACTTGACTGTGCCTTTATACATATGTAAACTGTAAGTGCACATATTAATGTGCTTCCTACCTCAATGGCTACAAATCACTACTCTTTTGATCCAAGCCACAGGCCTTTCCTCTGATATTCTCAATAAACTCACTGAGCAAACAGAAATACCCAATGTGAATTCACAATCTGAACAAGGTACCCAAAAAACACGAACAGACATTTCACAGATTTTAAATGATACCTAGTAAATGAATACATGGAGAAATGTTCATGACACAGAGAAATGCTAATTAAAACAATAAGCTACCTTATTGTTTGAGCATACCTCATTGGCATGATCATTATGATCATTACTTTTACATTAAAGGAAAAATAATAACTGTAAAGTAAATATCTTTTCACCAGATAAAGTTAAATAATTTTGAAAATTGTAATCACTACTAGTGAGAGTGCAAAGTAGTGTTCTAAAACGTGATAAAGGGCATTCAAAAGAGATATGAAGTAACTGGTAACATATACTAAACCATAAAATTATTCATGGTTTTCATTCCACTTAGAATGAAATATATCTTATACATTTTTAAAAATATCCATGTTTGAAAATAATTCAAAACATCAAGAAAGCAAAACCCATGAAGTTGTTCACTAGAACACCATTCATAATGGCAAAAATGAGGGATAACTTAAATACCTAAAAACTGAGATTCATGGATAAGGAAATATGTCACATCTACTCATCAGAATGTTAAACACAGTTCCATTAAAATGATGCTGATAAATATTTTCTAGCAATATGGAAAATGATTAATAGGATCTTACGTGAAAAAAAAAATCAAGATACAAAACTATGACTCAGTTTCCTTAGAAATGTGTACTCAAAAGGACCTAATAGAGAAAGTTATAAGCAAAACCGACAGGAAAAAAAAAAAAATCAAGGTCACTACGTTCAAAAGCATCTTAAATAATGTTTCTTATTTTTATTAAAAAAACAGGCAGAAAAAAAGCACTTAAAATGTTCAACAAAGTGCAAATAATTAAAAAAATTATTTTCTCTCTAATAGGAAATCGCTAAAATTATTCTATCATGGAAACTTCTTGAGCACATTAAAGAAGGCATTTCTTATACAAACATATGTCATTTAATAACAAAACAAAACCATGATGAAGACAAGTTCAAATACATAGGCTAAAGCTAGCTGAACACTTTTTTCTCTGTTAAGTGAATATACAAAATAATAATCCTTTCATACTTACCACTGTACCAAGAAACTGAATGCTCATGTTTCCACCTGCTTCTCGAGAAAGACACTGGGAAAGGGAAAAAAAAAAAAGTATAGAATAAATTCACATCCACACAAAAATGTGTACATGAATGTCCGTAGCAGCATTATTCCTAATAGCCAAATAACCTAAATGTCCACCAACTGGTACATGGATAAACAAAATATGATATATTCATATAAGGGACTATTCGGCTATAAAAAGAATGCAGTACTGACACATGCAACAACAGAAGGCCGTCACAAAGGACCTCGTATTATATGATTCCATTGAACATGAAATGTCCAGAACGTGCAAATCCAGAGATAGGAAGTAGATTAGCACAGTTTGGCAGTTCTCCGCAGAAAACCCGCAACTGCTCTAGGGACTTCCTGGTCCTCACACTTCCTGGGCTAGTACAGGTTGCCTAAGAACACACCAAATGTCACAGCTTTTCATTAGCGTAGATTACTTTATACCACCTGTCAAGGAAAGGACTGAAAGAATTTTTTGATTCCCCAAGAAATTGGGGGGCGGGGGAGTGAAACTTGGAGCCTCATGGACCTGTCAACAATTAGGAATGAAAGTAATGAAGATATACATAAACTCTGGCTGTCCTACTGAAAAAAGAAACATGCTCCTAACTCTACAGCAGGGTGCCAAGAGGCAGAGATTGCCAAAAATGCTAAGTCTGGAACAGTAAGAAAGGGTAGCAGATTCTACGGATGCATTAGATGAAGTTGTCCAGGAAAGAGACGATGCCCTAAGGCTTCTTCAGACTGCCCAAGAAAAAGCTAGACCTCATGTTTGGATAAGAGGCATCTTTGGAAGAATCATCTGGCACAAGTTCAAGAAGTGGCTATGCCTTGGTACCTAAGTAACAGATACAATAAGAAATGATTCTTTGCCAGGCCTCACGTGGGGCATTTTGTCAGAGTGAGACTGGAGAAGCCCACATTAAAGCCAGTAAGTCTAGGGGGAAGAAGTAAGAAAAATTTCATACACAAACAATGAATCATGGAACACTACATCAAAAACTAATGATGTAATGTATGGTGATTAACATAACAATAAAAAAATTTAAAAAAAATAATTAAAAAAAAAGTAAGAAAAATTTCTTCAGAAAGAGTTTCCATGGGGCGCCTGGGTAGCTCAGTTGGTTAAGAAAGAGTTTCCACATCTTTCTGAAGCCCAGAAGTCAAGTCCTATCTAATAAGTTTGAACTCTTAACTTACATTTTATTCTTCTTGGATAATAGTCTATATACAAAAGTAAATATATGTTAAGTGGCTTCATAAAGAACTTGTGTTTTCAGCTGAATGACAACTGACTTACTGATTGGTCGAAGTGTTAATATGCCATGCTAATTCTGGGAGTGGTCGTGCTTTTACCAAACTTTGAAAAAAATCAGGTATAAAGCACAGATCAAATTCCTTTTAGAAAGAAAGGAAGGGGGGAGGGAAAAGAGAAGGAAGAAGGGAGGAAGGAAAGGCGGCTGCCTGGGGGAGACGGCAGGGAGGAAATGGGAAATGACTGCTCATTAGTAAGGCTTGCTTTCTGCGTTGGTGAAAATGTTCTGCAATTGTTTGTGGTGATGGTTGCACAACTTCTGTGAAGAGACTAAAAACAGTGACTTGTGCACTTTGGGTGAACTGTGTGGTGTGTGAATTCTACCTCAATAAACCTGTCATAAAAAGTTAGCATTTGTTTAAAATAACAAGAGGACAACACAATGCTTCTACAACCAGAGAGCAGTGAAAATAGATATAACCTCTACGTTCCGCAAATATTTGTAAATAAAAAAGCTCAAAGTGAATACAGTAGGATTTATGCATATCTTGTTTGAATTTCAGTTTGCTAGAAATGGATAACTAAATAGTTCACTAGAAGTAAATTATATTTTTTTTCCAGATAATTCTCACCTGTAAAATTGCTCTATTTATTCCTAGCTTATTCTTCAAAATTCTTTCTTTCCTGCGCTACTCAGAAAGGGCCTAACGGCCTCAAAGACTCCACAAAAAATAAAGCCTTTCTAACTATGTAGCTATATGTTTTTTTTTTAAAGTTCCCAGGCGTAGCCCTGGGACAGGCAGGGCTGCCTGCCATGGACTATTACAGATACATCCTAATTTTATTCTTTTTAAGAAGTATAGGTTTACCAACCCCAATCTTTAAGATCACTCAAGTCCTGGAACCCAGAGCAAATCTCCAGAATTCAAGCTTGAGTCCCTGGGTCCTTGACTGAGGGAAGTTAGAGCAGTCAGAAGGAAAGCGGATTAATGCACTAGGACAACAAGATGGTTACCCCACCCGCAAGTACTGCCCCAGTGACTCAACACAAGAGTAGTCTGACCAGCACACTCAACGTGGTGTGCTACAGTGCAGAAGACTCAAAATCAGTATTTTTATCCATTAACTTCACTTCTAAGATTTTATCCTAAGGGAAAAAGTCATGAGTAGGCAAAACGTTAATAACAACAACAACCAAAAACAAAAGAAGCCCACAGCTACAAAAATGACATCACAGTGCAGTTTACAGAATCTAAAACCTTCCAAGCAACCTAAATGATGAATAAAAAAAAAAAAAAAACGGTTAAATAAATTATGGTATAATCCATGCAGCCATTAAAAAATCTGAGACATGAAAAAATGTTCACAGTATTATTTCTAAGTGCAAAAAAAAAAAAAAAGAACAAAACAATGTTTGGAATCTATCATGATAAAAACTTGTATATGTTAAAGATAAAATTCTGGCACAGATAATGCACATAGCACAGTTAACTACTATTTCTCGGTGGAAGATATTAGTTGGCCTTTCTTTTTGGCTCACCTATTATCCCTATTCTTCCAAATGGACATATAGAACTTAATAAAGGCAAAAAGAGAAACAGTACAGAATGGAACAAAATCAATTATTTCCCTCGACGTCCTAAGGGATTAAGAACTGAGTCCTGAATCCGGGGTTCTGACACTGGCACTTCTACGTTGGTCATCCATCCATCCATCTATCCATCCATCCGTTCATCAACTATATTGAATTGAACACTGCCAGCTGAATTAAACTTCACCCTCTAGGTGACTGAAGGAAAGAAGAAAATTCTACAAAAATTATAGGGGCATCTGGTTGGCTTAGTCAGTAGAGCATGCAACTCTTATCTCGGGGTTGTGAGTTCGAGCCCCACACTGGGTGTAGAGATTACATTAAAAAATAAATAAATAAATAAATAAATAAATAAAATTATAATTCAATATGATAAATCCATAGTACAAAATGTACAAAGTATTAACAGATAAGAGGCCAGACCAGCTAAATGCCCAGAAAGGTTAAGGAAGACTTGAAGATACACAGTAGAGCTGGGTACTAAAAAATGAGCAGACACTCTCTAAAAGGGAAATAAATGAACCACTTTTGGTCAGATGGGACAGTATATGCAAATTTCAGATAAAGAAAATGCACGTGAGTTTAAGGCGTGGTGAATTGTCCATATGGTCAGAGATAGGTTTGGTTAATGGAGTGAAGGGGCAAGAAAGGAAAACAGAGAAGGAATTACAGAGCCAAGTCCCATCTTGCACAGATTTCACACTTAACCAAGTTCTTATATTTAAAAACTGTGGAGGAACATGGTTGTTTTAGAAAGATTGATGGTCTGATGTAAGGTTCAGGATACACAGGAATCGGGGAGGAGGTGGGCTGGGAGACCAAGGAAAATGCCGCAAGGTAGCATTCACTAAGGTAGGAGGCTCAAAGGCTAGATAGAGGTGAACCCAAAAGTAGAACTAAGCCTGTTTCATTCACAGAAACGTAGAATTTGGAGAGCAAATGGATCTCAAAATCTACATTTTGTTTTACTTGTAAGGAAAATAAAGATACAGGGATATAAAAATAATCTGCCTGCATTGCAAATGGAGAATAAGAATCCCAACCTAGGGACGCCTGGGTGGCTCAGTCGTTAAGCATCTACCTTTGGTTCAGGTCATGATCCCAGGGTCCTGGGATCGAGCCCCGCATCGGGCTCCCTGCTCCGCGGGAAGCCAGCTTCTCCCTCTCCCACTCCCCTTGCTTGTGTTGCCTCTCTCGCTGTGTCTCTCTCTGTTAAATAAATAAAATCTTCAAAAAAAAAGAATCCCAACCCAAGTAGTTGTGCAGGGTTGGGATATCTCTATTGTGCAGGATGGAATATCTCTACAATTTCAGACCAGATCATCACTTAGATGGTGAGTTCTTTAAGAACAAGGACCATTTCTTACACTTCTTCCTTAATCCCAACAGCATGCAAGTGAGTGCCACAGCAACGGAAACGAAAAATCAATCTTCACCAAGAATTCTAAGTTTTTCCATACTATGAAAGACAAGAGTGATCTACATATCTCTCAGTCTTCGACTGTTTAGCCAAAGTTTTAGCTGGGCAGAGTCAGAGGTGTGTAATCAAGAAATCAGGGAAAGGAGTGCTGTAGAATGATGTAGATTGAGGACAGGCAGTCCAATGATACGCTGACTTCCACACTGCTGAGATTTTGAGTAGTGAGGTAAATACTCAGTGAAAGCATTGCCATTACTCCAAACCCAGGACTCAACCCAGCAGCTGTTAAATCTTCCTTCCTCAGAAGCCTGAGGCAGAGATCCAGAATCCAATCCATATTTACCAGAACAGAATGAGCACAATTAATCACCTCTGTCATGCAGTAACAGATTTAATCCTAATAGCTATTCAGAATGAGAAATTTTGATTGAAAAGTGTGGCTGTTGGATTCTGGGAAGATGGCAGTGGTGGCATGGTTTCTGAATCTTCCGCAGAAACGCTGAAGAGGCCCAGAGACAACAAACATCCCTAGCACCCCAAATGTTGTCTACAAATACCACTTCCCACTCCAAGAAATCAAGGTTTCTCGGCAGAATGGCTGATCCCGAGTTTGGGGCAGAAATGAGGCTGCTATATCTTGTCACATCAGAAAGTAAGGAGCTATCAAAGATTGGGGCCATGTGAGAAAGACTCAGGACTGAAAACATTCCCTGGCCAGAGCTGATGAAGTCTGACCGACAATAAGGA